GAACAAAATAACCAAATCTACTCAGTAACCAATATTTGTGACCTTCCCGTGAAAATTGAAAGATTTCGTGGAGGGAATAGCCCAATACAATGTTATAACTGCCAGAATTTCGGCCACACACAACGAATGTGCAAATCTCAACCAAGATGTCTAAAATGTGCCGCCGACCACCGTTCCTATCAGTGCCATAAGGATAAAACTTCACCACCTAAATGTTGCAACTGCGGAGAAGCACATACTGCAAATTACACAGGTTGCAGCAACCGTCCCCCCAGGAGAGGCCTTCGTGCAACTCCTGATACAATCCCATCAAGAACGATAGGTCAAGCCCATAGACTTGCATCAATTATCAAAGAACTTAAAGAACTCTTAAAAAACCGAGATGTATTTCAACTGCTGCAAACAATTATGAGGGAGACTACTCCGGAATAATTTCACTTTAGGACTAAAACTGAACTCTTCTCTGACTTTAAATATGCATCTCTATAAATTACAATTTAATAATCTTGAATGCTTCACACTAGATTACGCCACTAAGGCTTCGCAAAATTTGTAATTTCTTCCTGATTCTGATTACCGATTTTGTATATTCTTTGCTATCATCAACTCTGATTCCTGGCTCTGTAAATATTTATGCTTTCATCAATTTGTCTCCCGATTTTATATATACTTACGCTATCATCAACATTAAACACTCAATTTCAAATTTCTACTGATCATCAATGTAAATATCACAGATTAAGTTTGTATATCATGTTTTCATATCTAATCATGGCTATTTTCAATTTTCTTTGCAATTCATGTAAACCTTCGATCTAGTTGTACTTTCTAGTCATGGCAATATTATTATGTAACCATACTATCATATAACTCAAAATGACTATATACACTGTATTATTTTCATGATGGATGGGTTAGAGGCCGCTGCACGGCCTAGGTACCCAATTTATTTTAAATAAAGTAAGTAAGTAAATATGGTATATATATCGCCTACTAGCCCCCCTGGTCCCTGGTTCGATCCCAACTGTGAACTCACTTTTTCGAAATACCATCCTAATCATCCAGTTCATAATCTCAGAGAATCCTTAGTGAATAATCGATCTTAGCGATATCTTAGTGAATCATCTATCAGTGTATCAATCAAAATTTAGAACAAGAAGGAAACAACATTAACAAAATTATAAAATTTGAACTTTCAATATTGAACTTTAAAAAAAAAAAACTCTTAATATCTATTTTATTAATTATATAAACATTTTTCAATAGATTTATAAATAGATTTTAAAGACTCATATTGTTTTTATAATTTCAACCTTCAATCTGTTAATTAATCAAGCAAGTGCATAGCTACAACTATGTTGCTGAACTCAACATGTTTGTAACTCAATGTATTAATATTTCATGATGTAGTATGGGATAAGGGACGCAGGGCGGCCAAGGTGCCCAGTTTTATTAAATAAAGCAAGCATGCAAATATAGTATATATTATTAAAAATGGTAAACTTTTAATGTGACGATCTGCTTATCGTTAAGAAACGAAAATGATTATGAAGTAATATTGGGAGTTGATAAGCGAAGTGAGCAGGTGGAATATATTACTCCAAATAACATGCATTAATTAAGTTAGAAAACTGCAGCCACAAAATATTTAAAAAAACTCATTTCTTTAATAGGTATCATTAAAAAATTTCAAGAAATATTTATAATTAGAGCATCAAAACTTTTCAGATGCCGCCATTTTGAACATGCACTATAAGTGTTATGAACTAAATCTGAGATGGCCTCTTCTCCGAGATTAAAATTTTCTGCTTCTGTAATTGAAGGCGAGATTGTTTTGCCTATCTGCAGTACTAATAGTGAAAGCCTCCACATGGTTTTTTATAGGTAGTCCGATCAGACCACTGTGAAGGATATCCATTTTCCGAATGAGTCACTTAAAACAAAATCTAGTTAAAATAAGAAAGTGGTAGCAAATATATAACTAAAAATTTGTTTTATTTCTATATATCACTGGTTTGCCTTATTCACTTGTCAACCACTGCAGATTCAATTCTCAAACATATATGATGAATTTCTCTCAATTACTTTTATATAAGGTTTTGGGTTCATGTGCACAACTGGTTCACTTATAAAATAGTCTGCGGGGACTACTTATCAAAGAGGCTTTTTGATGTAGGAGGTGATGGTTAGTGTCGCAAGCAATAACAACATATTTTCTTTAAAAATATATAGTGGTGGAGTGGTGGTCACAATAACATTAATTAATCAAGATTAGTCTCATTTTTTTACCACTATTAAAACTTTAACGACCCCCTGAATTAATAATTATCAGTAGCAATACTATTTAAATATTATAAAGATAGCACAAACCAGAAGGAAATTCTACTTGTTTCCTGGAGATACTTTGTTTCAACGCGTTTAGACTGGTGCTATATTTTTCAAGATAGATTTTGACCTAATATTATGATTTCTTTTAGGCGATTGAAATGTCATACCAATATATTTCAAATTTATAATTTAGGGCCGTGGTGGCTCAAGGGTTAGAACGCTCGCTTCTCAATGAGGTTACCCGGGTTCGAATCCTAGCGATGACTAGTCGATATGAAATCCGTAACCGGCTCGCACCAACTACAGTGCTGAGTAAAATATCTTCAGTGGTAGATGCGATCATGGGTTAGAGTCCCCTTGCAGGCAGCCTAACCGTTTTCCTCTCCGTGTAACACAAATGCTGGTGAGTTCCATCAAAAAGCCCCAAATTTCTCCCAATACTTAGTCCTGAAGTTCCCTTGTCATCTCGATTGGATTCAAAATTTCAAGGATTCGAGTTGAATATCGGTAGTTGTAAATTAAAAAATTGGGTTGGCTGTTCAACGACGGTTATAAAATAAAATAAAATATTTATAATTTGAATAAAAATATAACGAAACGAAAATAATGCTTATACATTATAAAAAATATCGTTGAGAGGCGTTATTTCGTTATTATAACTAAATAACGCTTTAAACAAATAACATGAAAAAAGTACGAGGGTTTTAGTTTGTATATTTAAATCTATTGTAAGCTGCAAAACTCTATTACCTCCATCACAGGATGCAGAGCATGGAGTGAACTTTTCGGTATTCCAAGAATAAAAGGGTTTTTCTTCTTCGATTTCTTCTATTATACTTTCTTTTTCGATTTCAATTTGTTTTCGAGGTGGGTGCGGAGGAGGACAGGAGTTCGTGCAAGATTCCATGTCAGTCGGACGTATTTCTGAAAAACAATATTCGAATAATTTAAAAATGCGATTTCAAATAATTTAAAAATGCAATTTTATGAAAACGATGGGGGAAAAAATAATATAAACTCTGCATAGCATCAGCCATTAAAAACAATCGCATCACGAGAGTAACATAAATAATAAAACAATTAATGCGGGTTATTTCATTAAATTTACGACTTTGGAAAAATAGTTCTTGATAAATTTTAAATACGAAATCTTGATAAAAAAATCTTTTTTGCATGAATTATTTTATTTTCTTCATATCTTACAATAAAATACTCAATAGCAATGGTACGGATTCGGTTGTAAAATTTTTATGCAGTAGTTGCCGAGTTCAATAAAGTTCAGAGTGCAAAAATTTTAACCTTTTTTTTTTAATTTTTTATTATATAAGATATTTTTGCCATTAATTTAAGTTTATACTTAATTTTAAAACTGGTAAATTTATTATTTTTAAATTGAAGTTAAAGCTAAAACTACAGCTATTACCTAACTTACAGTAAATTTTTATTTTATTAGCTTCAAGCGTAAATTGACTACCACTGTTCAAATCAATCAGAGATTCTCTCTAACATTTGAGGTCGAGTGGTCAAAATAAAAAAATTGACCCCCTGAATCACTTTTGATATAACGCTCGGATCTTTACGTTCTAGGACTCAATCTTAATAATTCGAGAGAATGTCCTCAAGTATGATAATTAATTAGTGCAGATGATACTTTAAGTAACGAAATCAGACACAAAAACGTATTTTCTCAGAATAAACGTACTTGTTTCTCAAAGGATTCGGATATCTGGCTTCTGAAATTTAAGGGGTAACCGCCGTCTGGGAAATATGATTCCAATAGCTTCATGTCCAATAGCATTTTAAGCGAATTTGAAAATTTTTGAACATAGCTATAAAATTCGTTTATCCAAAATATAATTCTATGCAAAATACAACTATTAGTATAAATATTTATTACTTTTTATTATGTCATTTAATAATAGTCGAAAAAATTTTAAATTGTAAGGTATACAAATTTTTACATAATTTTGAAGAATGTAATTATTAATCGAAAAATACAAAATTCGAGTGAATTCGTTGAATAGTTCCTGAGAAACTGGATTTTGAAAAAAATCGTACTTTTAAAATTTGATTTCTCAGGAACTCTTTGACCAATTTTGCTCAAACTTTGTAATTTGCCATTTCAAATTTTTGCATTTTGCGCACTGTACATACATACTTTCTAATTGCAACTCCAAAGTTTTTCCTAGTGGTCTTAAAGTTCATGCTTTCAATTTTTTTATTCTTGGTTTAATGTGCATAATTCCAAAGAATTCACTGGAAAGTATTTTTCAGGAAAATCTTTCATCTCGGAAGTTCTAACTCCTGACTCCTTACAATACTTCACGTAATAACAAAATTAAAATTAATGTAAGTTCAATTTGTTTAATTTTTCTTGCACTTAAATTCTTCACAATATTATTATCAGATCTCGGATACATGTTTCAATTACTTACATATAATGGTGATCAAAATTATTTTAAATTTATTAAATGAAAAATAAATGAATTTAAAGTGCAGTACTTTTTTTTTAACAGCTTCACATATTTGAGAAAAATTTTCCACCAGAAGTGGGAGAAGTAGACACACACACACATATATATATATATAATAATTTAAATCCAATTTGATTGGCTATTAAATTGTATTTTCCGGTCTGACGTGATTTTCAAATGGATGCGTTCGAGTCATTGTCTCATCTACATCATCGGGGTTTTATTCAAGCAAACATTTCGTGACTGTATATTATCTTATTCCCAGTCAAGAAAGTAAAAATGCATTTTTGGTTTTTAAGTGACGCGAAAAGCACCATCTCGAGAAAGAAATTGACAAAACATTAACACTTAATTAATTTGGAAATTTTTATGCTTAAATACCTCTTTAATTTCTTTTTAAAGTGGGCATCATATTATTTTAGTATTCCAAACCAATTTGTACCCCTAATTTCTAATTAGCGCGATATAGGCTGTTTTCTCCAACCGAATTCATTTTTATTCCAGTACCACCATTTTACTTTAACCCTTTCATGTGTAATGTAGCAACATTAGTTCAACAAACATTACGAACCACTTAAAATAACAACAAAAACTAATTGCTTTTAAGCCTTTCACTATTCTTTAAATAACAAAGAGCTAAAGCAGTTCGTTTCATTTAGAATGTATTGTATAAACGGCCGTAAGGCCTCAAACGCCCAGTTCCACTACAACGAACGAAGAATGTTTTGTATATTCAAGCAAAGTGCTTAACTCCCCTTTACAGCAACCACATTGCCTGCTAGTCTCAACGAAAACAAACAAAATGACAAAAACTCCACGATGAATCTGATAAGGAGAGCTTCGATCAGACCACTATAGAGGATCCACTAAGCGAACGAGACATTTAATACAGAATATAGTTAAAATAAGAATGTGGTAGCAAATATATGACTAAAATTTTTTTTTATTTATGAATATTATTGGTTTGCCTTATTCAATTGTCAACCACTACAGATTCAATTTTCAAATATATAAGATAAATTTCTCTCAATTACTTTTATAAAAGAATTTGGGTTCATGCACACAACTGGTTCACTTNTGGCAGCACCGAGACTCTATTTGGATGCTAAAGTGCACTAGGAATTTAATTTTGCCGGAAATGCCAAGAGCCAATAAGGCACTCCAGGGATCTTTTACATGCCGTATAATCATACGACATGGCAGCTGAGGATTTTCTGCATCCCGAAAATCCGGTGTCTGGGCCGGGGATCGAACCCGCAGACTTGGGCTCAGAAGGCCGACGACAAACCAACTGCGCCACCCAGCCACATTGCAAATTTATTAAATGAAAAATAAATGAATTTAAAGTGCAGTACTTTTTTTTAAACGCTTTACATATTTGAGAAAAATTTTCCACCAGAAGTGGGAGAAGTAGACACATATATATATAATAATTTAAATCCAACTTGATTGGCTGGATATTTAAGCAAACATTTCGTGACTGTATATTATCTTATTACCAGTCAAGAAAGTAAAAATGCATTTTTGTTTTTTAAGTGACAAGTGACGCGGAAAGCACCATCTCGAGAAAGAAATTGGCAAAACATTAGCACTTAATTAATTTGGAAATTTTTATGGTTAAATACCTCTTTAATTTTTTTTAAAAGTGGGCATCATATTATTTTAGTTTTCCGAATCAATTTGTACCCCTAATTTCTAATTAGCGCGCTATAGGCTGTTTTCTCCAACCGAATTCATTTTTATTCCAGTACCACCATTTTACTTTAACCCTTTCATGTGTAATGTCGCAACATTAGTTCAACGAACATTACAAACCACTTGAAACAACAACAAAAACTAATTGCTTTTTAGCGTTTCACTATTCTTTAAATAACAAAGAGCTAAAGAAGTTCGCTTCATTTAGAATGTATTGTATAAAGGGCCGTAAGGCCTCAAACGCCCAGTTCCATTACAACGAACGAAGAATGTATTGTATATTCAAGCAAAGTGCTTAAATCCCTCTGACAGCAACCACATTGCCTGCTAACTTCAACGAAACCAAACAAAATGACAAAACCTCCACGATGAATCTGATAAGGGGAGCTTCGCGGCCCAGACGCCCAGATCCAAAAGCAAGACAAGACAAGAATATACTGGCACTTTTAACTCAGACTTAATTCATTGATTGCTTCTAGCAAAATACTTAGCTGAAGAGGCAGGTGCCACAAGGCAGATACTTCGAAGTTTACATTTACATTGAAGCATTAAACATAAGAATGTACTGCTTGTGATCGCACTTGCCCACGTCTTGCCTGACCGAAGTTTTTCAATTGGAATTTGCTTTTCCGAAAAGGGTTCAAAATGCTTCATATTAGGAAAAATGGAAAAAGAGCATCTCTACTAAATTGCCTGTGTCGAATTATTTTACAAAGCATAGAACTAAGTTTAATGACGTCTTCAACCTAGATGTGCTACAAGATACAGTATAAACATTTGCACCAGACTTTTTTCCGAAATCTCGTACTTCTTTCCAAATAAAACACATTCATTTAAGTATCTAGTGTAAATATTTAATCCGTATGTTTTATAAATATTAATTTGACACACTGGGTATGTGTAACAACTAAACTACGTAGTTCTGTTTTATTACAAGGGTAAAGACGACCATTGCTATTCGAATCGTATTTGCAAAGAGCAGGTGGCGTATCGCTTATACATTATTCATGCATTGAGAGATAATATTTCTTTTAAATACATAGACAATCAGCGGGGGTGTAGCTCAGTGGTAGAGCGTTCGCTTTGCATGTGAAAGGCCTGGGGTTCGATCCCTCACACCTCCAGTTTTGTTATTTTTTCTTTTCTTAAAAAAATATTCATGATCAATTTCCACTGCGTTTACAGTTGGTTATTCTTAAATATAATTTTTCATTTAATGGGTTGTCCTCAAAGTTCGTGCCGATTTTCGATAGGTGGAGCTCCTAAAGGTGTGTCAAAAATATTCAAGTGGTAGCTAGCAATTCGAAGTTTTCCTAATTTGGCAACCACTTCAGTTTAGATAATATTCTTTAAGCATGTATCAGATTTTTATCTATGCGAGAAATGTATCTCATGTATATCGACCTAATCATGGCTGTATTCACTTCTTTTTTAAAGGCAATTTATGTAAATCATCGATCAAGTTGTACGAATTTCTAATCATGGTTATTTTTATGTTACCACACTGTTACATAAATCAAAATGTTATATTCACTGTAATAATATTTTTAAGATGGATGGGTTAGCATACCTGCCAACTTTTAATCCCTTCCATTATTATTTTTCCAGTGGTATTAAAATGGAATTAAAACTTCAATTTTAAGCAAACAAATACGTTGTATTTGAGAAAACTTAAGTTGACAACTATGATAGTAACGCATATTAATATATGTGCTTAATTTTTGTAAGAATAGTGGTGATCAATATCATTTAAAA